ATTTAGAAATAGCACTCTGTAGGAAGGTCTTGTAGAGGCTAAATTGTAAGGAGTCAAATCTGAAGTTAGAGGGTCCATTTTCTGGGCTAGTGCAAACAGTCTCCAGGCAAAAGAGAACAATGGGCAGCAGAATGTGTAAAGAGAAGGGCCCAGCCCGGGTGTGGGGGGTTCCTGTCCACACTAAGATCATGTCCTTGAGAGGTATATGCTTTAGTAACATGCTTAACCTTTCTAATTTTCTGTTTTCTCATAGAGATTATTCTACTTACCCTACAGAGTTGGGAAAAAAATATTGAACAAGATAGTGTATGTAAAGTACTTAATATAGTAACAAGGAAGTAATGCGTTTTCGATGATTAGTATTTAAGTGGTAGTCTAGAGTGTATTTTCTTGCATTTGATTAGGCAGAGGAGAACAAGGAAGAAGTTGCCAAGTTGCCTACAGCTCACTTATAGAACATCAGGTTTGGAGGGGTATGGTTTCAATTCTGGATATGTGTAATTTGAATTACTTGTGGGAAAATCAGGTGGAGGTGCCCCATGGACGTTTGGATATGTGGGTGTGCAGAATGTATGAAACTTAACTGAGAGTATTGTTCTCGAGAAGCGTTTATTCTTTTCTTCCTCATTGGCCTCTAGTTGTCTATTCTTCAATGGACTTCTGTTTTTATGAGGGAATAATATTAGACGGGCACGTCCTGCCCTCTCTTTACTCTTTTCTCCAAGTAGATGGGTGGAGAAATGGGAGCCCAGTGAGTACAGCTCAGCCCTCAGGCTCTTCCTTCTCCCCTTAGTCTTTATTTTCTCTCTCTCTCTTTCTCATTTTCTACTTGTCCTTTTGACATTGGTCCACACGCACTAGACTTACCACTGCTTCTATTTCTTTTCATTAGGTAATTCACTAGGGCAGATCTCCTGCACGGTGGGGATGCCTGGAATCTTTGACTGTTCTGCCTGGAAATGGGTGAGTAATTCAATTTGAGGTGAGAACAAATAGGGAGCCCAACTTAACCTCAGAGCCAAGCTGTTTCAATTCTCCAAGTTTACCAGCAGCACTACTGAAAATGTCCTCCTAAAAACTAACCCCTGGAGATATTTCATATTTTTCTACTGCAACTCAAAGGGAAACATTGTGATTTAACAACTCAAATCCCCAGAGGCATGGATACAGAAGTCATCAGTGTAAATATGACGTGAAAGAAGTTGTGTGAACGAAAATGCTCAAAAAGAGCTTTAGGAACTAAGAAGAGGAGAGGCAGAAGATGAGAGCATTTGCTTTGAGGAAGTAGGCAGAGCCTGCAAAAAGGGAGGAGGAGGAGGGCCAGAGAAGTGTGAGAGCAGAGAATGAGAACCAGTCCTCTGGCATCACAACCAACTGAATCCAGATATGGATTTAAAACAAAAACAAAAACCACTAATGTATTTGGTATGTAATGCCAAAAAAGGGTCTATTGTTGGAACACCTGTTACCTCATTCTATCAACACGCATTCAAAGATAAAGTCCCAGGCGGAGAGAGGGGCCAAAATATTGTAAGAGGCTAGTAACATTGGATTTGGAGTAGGAAAAAGTGACTATCAGAGCATGCTGTTCCTTCAAATATAGGCCCACCACAGCTGACACGGTAGACCCTGTTTGCCTGATTCAAAGGTATGTGTGCATCTATGGACTTATCAAAGCCTCCAGACTTGCACAGGGACAGTATTAAGTTTGCCATGATGTTAGGTACTGAGTTGAGACTCATTCTTTCCTTGAACAAGTGTGACAAAACCAGATGATTGGGGAAATATAAATTATAATCCTATAGGACAGACTTTGAAAAAAAGCATAACAAGAAAGCAGTGACAGTGACAAAAATGGGTTGATTTTAGTGCGGATGTAAGGGAATGAGTAATAAAGTCCTGTTGAATTACTCTTAAGTTATATGTTAATAAAACCCCTCAACACATTGTTTGACTAAAACCAGATTGCTGGAGATACTGAACCAGGACCACCAAATATACTCAGAGACAAGTTGATACAGAAGTATCTCTTCAAAAGACACGTCCCATCCACTTTAGGTAATAAGTAAATTTTCAAGTGCTTTATTGAGACACAGAAACTAGGAAGAAGAGTAGAAAATAAACCTGTCAGTTTAATAGTGATATCTCTGAGAAGTAGAAAGAAGGCAGTAAGCTCTCACATGTGTGTGGACTTTCTCTTTCCATATGGAATCATCAAATCTCGCATTTATCATTTTCCCAGGCCACATCCTTTTTTGTATGTATCCTGGGACATCCAAGAGTCTGATATATTTTAAGTTCCCACAGACAACTTGCTTTCTCCTCAAGCATACGGAAGACATAAAAATCACTGATTATTAGAAATATAATAGTCACTCAAAACAAGTTATTGTTAAGAAGAGTATGATTATTTCAGGGGCACCTGGGTGGCTCAGTCGGTTAAGCGTCCAACTCTTGATTTCGGCTCAGGTCATGATCTTACTGTCATGAGATGGAACCCCACTTTGGGCTCTGCGCTGGGCATGGAACCTGCTTAATATTCTGTCTCTTCCTCTGCCTCTCCCCCTCCCCTGCTCACTCGTGTGTGTGTGTGTGTGTGTGTGTGTGTGTGTGTGTGTGTGTGCATATGTGTGTGTGTGCATGCATGTGTGCATGCTCTCTTTCAAAAAAAGAGTAGAGTGTGATTATTTTATAGCTTATTGTAGCCACTAAACTAAGTACCTTATGTGCATTATTCAAATTAATTTAAAACAATCCTTTGAACTGCAAGATGAGGAAACAGGTCTAGACAGTTAAGTAGCCTAAAGTTTTACAGGTCATAAGAACTGTAAAAACTTTGAGGTCATCTGACTTCAAAGCCAATGGTCTTAAACTTAATTACTTTATATCTCATGTAAATGCTGACTTTGTTAACACTAACGATGTTACAAAGTTAAAACAGTGGATAATTTAACCCAGAAAAATAGAATCCTGTGGATCAAGACAGGTAGGTAAAGGGTTCTTGTCCTGCAGCTTTAACAACCTTTGCTTAGTAGGAGTTTCTCTCCTCCGAACACTCAAGCTCACACTAAGCACTTAAACCCGGTGAATGCAGACCAGCCAGATAAAGAAAGCTCACAAGAGACCTACAGGGAGCAAGGAAGAAACAATAAAAATAAATGCAACAAATACACTTATGTCAACTGAAGAAGAGGCAAGGTAAGGTGGGTTGCCCGGCCTCTTGCCTAAAACACTGTGTTTCGGATTATTAATGTTGGATAATAAGATCATGCCTCACTAAGAGTTTTCACTCACAGAGATAGACTGATAGTGTAAGAATTTGGGGGTAGCATTGCAGCATCTAGACAAAGTACGACTGAAAGCATAGTGAACATCCAGCCACTTCACGTCCCTAGCTGGATGCCACAAAAAGCAAACCAGTTGAAATAGCTGAGCCACTGTGTTGCCAGAGACTGGAAGCTAAAGAAGAACCCCTCCTCCCCCCTCCCCCCAACAAAGGGACATTTTTGTTCTCCAGGGGTTTATTAAACATGATGGAGGCAGGCAGCCAGTGATTTCTCAGCTACTTCATTTCAGGAGCAGGTAATGCATTTTAATTAGCGAAGAAGACAGCTTTCCACTAAGGAGAAGAAAGCAAAGAAAATAGGAACATCAGTGTGCATGGAGGATATGTGAAAGCACAGAACACTCCTTATTAATGCTGAATTAATGGACAAAATTCTTTTGCCCTCTGCTCTTCTGTAACATCAAAATAAAAACAAAAACGGAAAAAAATGTGCTACAGATTGCAAGATTAAAAAAAGAAAAAGAAAGTGTCGCTAAGGTTTATGAGTAGGTTATCTTAGATCACAGGGTCTTTACTACACTGAGTATCACTCTTAATCAATAGTAATTGATGGTGGCACATTCTCAACAATGTTTGCTCTGCCCACTGAGCATTCTGACAGCCTCCTTTGTACCAGAGAATGAAAAGGATGGCTCTATGTGAGACAGGAGTTTCTTCCTCCCCACCCCAGCTATTTAAATTAAGCCCAAAAGCCTTTGCATTGGCTATCTGTGAATATTTGGAGACAGTAGAAGATATAAAGGTGAGATATCGCTTGATTCATTGCTGGCTAAGCCTTTCCCCCCCTAATTTAGACTCTGTGTATACATGTACATAATCACATGTGTATGTGAGTATATGGGAGAGGAGTATTGGTTATTATATTTTTGGATCAGAAGTTGCTTTTGACCTGGTTTTTGAAGGGTCCTTCAAACAATAGATAATCAGATACCCTCTTTAGACATTGTTCAGATATATTGATGATAAGCCTTGCAATAATTCTTGAGGACCCTCAATGCTCCAAGCAAATGCCACTTTTGCTAATGGGACTTTCATCCAGTGAACAGACTATGCCCGTGAATTATTTGAAGTCAGCTTGCTCAAAGTTACCGCCAAATATATGCAGCTTTGCTTTAACACAGTAATGTACAATCACATGTAATGCTTTGTTTGAATTATGAGTCTGGTTGATTTTCAGTGGTACAATTTGAGCAGAGAAGTGGGTTTCTTTTGTATTTGTGACCTGCACTGTGAATATCTGAGCACTGTAAATGAGAGCCCTAAGTATTCACAGTCCCATAAGGAAAGATGCACATTCATTTCATTTTTATTAAAGCCTGACAAAACAGTACATGTGCTCTGGCATGGTATGCTATGGTACATCACTGCTACTAACTTACTATAACCCCCAACTATGGTAAAGTTCTTTGCTGACCAGAAAAGTTTCAAAGTGACTCAGGAATCCATAGGAGACAGATGACTCATGTCCACCTTTTACTACCCCACAAACTTTTGTGTGCCCTGATGAGAAAAGAATAAGTAAGTTTTTTTCTCATATGGAGTAGGGACCTTCTGTTCCATCCCACCTCTGCTAGATTTTATCAGTGAGGTAAGAAGTGATGATAAACTTCTTTTGATTTCATGCTTGCCTGATAATTCTTCATGACTTCTTTAATCTTTAATTGTTTGGTCAAGGAATAAAGCAGGCCCTTAGAAACCATCAGCTTAGTTTTTCTCCACGGAAATCTTTAGTAAAAGGCGAAAGATTTATGCGATCTGAAGAGAAACCAGAGTATCCCATCAGCTTAGTTTTTAACAATCTAAAAGACTAGACCAGTATTTTTCAAGTTACAGCTCAAAGCCCACTGGTGAGCCAAGAGGGCCTTCCTAATAGGTCAGGAGTTTATTCAGAAACACAAGTGTTTCCTTGGATTATTATATATAAAAAATGTACAAGTCCAGTCTATTTGAGGTTAAAATCAAGGACTACCCATATTGGATATTGCAAGTTGGTACACCCAAACTAGTATTAGTTAGTATTCTATTAAGTTACATAATTACAATGCTTCTATGACACCTTTATTTCTGTAATTGGAATTCCCCTGATTTTCTGTGAGTTACCAGTGTTTCGTTGATTTTCAGAAGCTACTAGCTACTTGCAATTTGCATAAGGCACTAGTTTTGCCTTAGAATGAATAGCAAAGTATGGCTAGTGCATCATTGTTTCTACCGGAATTTTGAGAAAGACAATTCTTGGTTGGGTGTAATTGTTTCCTGCATTGTAAAGATGAGGGTGTCCGTGCCCCTCTAAATGCTAACAATGCATCCCAACAGCTGATGATCAAGAATCATCCCCAACTATTCTCATGTGTTATCTAAATGGGTATTATTGCATCTGGTTGAAAAAATTAGTTTACTAATTAATATCAATAAAAGTTGTGGTGTATTATTTACTTAATTCCAAAATCTGCACAGAAGAACATGGGCTCTTTATTTCTTAATAAAACATATTTGTGTTACTAAATAATATATTGGTAAAATATAAATCAATGATATTTTATAAGACAGTAAGATATTAATATTCTTCTAATTGTGCTTCTACTAAAAACATCATTGATATTGTGTACCTATGACTGTATACTATTATGAAAATGTGAAATATTATTAGGCAGTGTTGTGGGTTGAATTGTGTCCCCCCCGAAAAGACATGCTGAAATTCTAACCCTCAGTACTTTGACCTTTAGAAATGGGGTATTTGTAGATGTGATCAAGTTAAGATGAGGCCATACAGGATTAGGGTGGGCTCTAATTAATATGGCTGATGTCCTCTTAAGAACAGGAGAAAAGACAGGGGAGTCACATTGAGATAATGCCATGTGGTGATAGAGGCAGAGATTGGAGTGAATACCAAGGACTGCAGGTAACTCTCAGAAATAGAAAAAGGCAAGGGGCGCCTGGGTGGCTCAGTTGGTTAAGCGTCTGACTTCGGCTCAGGTCTTGATCTTGCAGTCTGTGAGTTTGAGCCCCACATCGGGCTCTGTGCTGACAGCTCAGAGCCTGGAGCCTATTTCAGATTCTGTGTCTCCCTCTCTCTGACCTCCCCCATTCATGCTCTGTCTCTTTCTGTCTCAAAAATAAATAAAGGTTAAAAAAATAAAAAAAAAAGAAAAATGAAAGGAATGATCATGTTCTAAAGCCTTCAGAGAAGGCAAAGCACTGCCAACTCCTTTATTACAGAATTCTAGCCTCCAAACCTATGAGAGAATAAATTACTGTTATTTTAATCCACTCAAGTTTATAATAATTTGTCATTGCAGCTCTTGGAAACTAATGGAGACAGGTTACCTACCTTCTCTATCTAACCAATTTTCCATGTGTTAAGTGGGACAAGTAGAAAAGTTCTGACCAATATCAAGCTAATATTTATCAAGTACTTAGAATTAACATATAATATATGATTGCCACATAATTAGAGCTATACATTTGGGTAGATGAATTAAAGTTGTGCCATAATTTTTCTTTCTAGGATATATTTTTTTAAATCCAGGTAATGGAAGACTATGGCTATAAAGTGGGGTTTTATTTGGAATGGAGTCATATTTGTTTAAATATTATCTATGACTGTTTTTGTGCTATAATAGTAGAGTTATAATTGCCACAAAGACTTTATGGCTCACAAAACCTAAAATATTTACTCTGGGCTTTCAAGAAAAACTTTTCCAACTCCTACTGTAGACTATCAAATCTGTTATATGTGTTCTTTTTCCTGTTCTATTCTGAATAATTCAATGATTTATAGGTATTTATACCCAGAGGTTTCCTACAATTTTTATCTTTGTTCCTCTAGAATTTGAGCTCTATTCCAATTTAAAGTGGGAATGAATAGGGCAGATGGACTGTTGGGTCACTTGTCCCACAAAAGTTCATAATAGTTGAGTTGAAGGCCATTAATTGAGACCTGTAGTAAAACTGATGACTGAAATGAGGACTAAAATAATACATTTTTATTGTCTTCATATTTGCTAATGGAATTTTATGTAATAATGAAACATGAGAGTTTAGTGAACTCCTAACTAGAAACCATATTTTCTTATTGAGAATCACTTTCTTTAAAGAAATTTTTCAAGCTATTGATTCCCATATCTAATATTGCTGAATTAATTAAACAAAGCAGTGAAGTAAAAGTAATGACCCCAAACTCAAGGGTAAATTTATACAGTGAAATTGCCAGCTCTTAAAGCAAAAGCATGGGTGATAAAATCATTAGGTGAGGAGATTTATCTGGGCCATCTTCTCAGTGTTTGATAGTCATGTTCTGAGTGGGGGAGCAAGATTTTTAATTATCAGAAACCCAAAACTCCACCCTCTGCAATCTTAGGGGACTTTCTAATCTTCATGTTTCAAATATGGCTGATTTTTATACTCTCACTGTAAACTGTTCTTTCTAACCCTAAAGAAAGTGAAAGTTGGAGGTTGAGGTGGGCCTTTTTCTTTTTTTTTTTTTTTTAATTTATATATGAAATTTATTGTCAAATTGGTTTCCATACAACACCCA